CCGGTGTCCTGAAGAGTTTAGCTCCAACCCCAATTAAACACACCTGAACCAGCTAATCAAGCTCTTATAGGCATACTAGAAACTTGAAAGCAGGTGTGTTGAGGCAAGTTGGAGCTAAACTCTGCAGGACACCGGCCCTCCAGGACCGAGTTTGGGCACCCCTGATATAAAGTAATCATGTCTCTTTATAAGGCTTAAACCACTATGGATTACCTTTATTCCTATAATCTGCTCTCATACCTCTTTTCTGAACCTTGAACATTTTGGGTGACTATCAATGGAGGGACAGGAACGTCAGAGATTTAAAATAAAAATATCTGTCATTTGTGTTTCAAAACTCTTATGGGTTTGGAACGACATGTGCGTGAGTAAATTATGACAGTGTGAACTATTCCTTCAAATGGTTGTGCTTATACAATAAAATGTGTTTAAAAGTGTGATTATGACATAAAAAACCATTATATTTCCTTAATGCCCGAAACATGTAAATGCATCAAGGTAAAGGAACATATGTATGTGCCTCATAATCTGTAAAGATCAGACTGAAATGATCAAGGATAAAAAGAAAGATACAGTGTTTTCATAGTACAATGAACTCAATCTAAACGGAAAAATGTATTTTTCATGATATGACCTTGTCAAAAATGTATAAATGTCACTGCATAAGACAAAAAACGAAAATCAAACTAAGTGACATTTAAAGAAAGATGGCACAAACTGAACAAAAAAGGTTCAAAACTATAAAACACAGTGAAACATGACCATGGTTCATGATAAAATACACCAGTGGTTACTCTGCTAGGACACACAAAGTTCAAACTATATTTTTGCAGTTTATAATACAGTCAATGCCAAATTGCAGAGAGAGGGTCATGTTGACCATATCACTAACTACAAGGCTACCTTGGACCAGGCTAACTGATAGAAGCAGTAGGGCTATGCAAGGATTGGCCTTCATTCCCTGAACTCCCAAACAAAGGCTGAATGCGTGGAAGGGCTGATTCCTCTCAACTTTTTGAAAACAAATCAACTTGTTATGTATGTCATTATGCCACACAGAAACTACAAACAAAGCCATGGTGTGTTTTTGATGTGTTGTGGAGCCCATGAAGTTAGACCACTGACCGTAGCTGGCATGCAGGTGGGGGTTGCGCAGGCGGCTGTCTTTGCGCAGACTGCCCACAATGATGGTGACGCAGGAGAGGAAGAGCACCAGGCCGATGACGATGCCAGCCACCACCAGAGGGGACACCAGCAGGCTGGCTTCATTACCCCCTTCTTGGCAGTCTGGGTACTCATGAGCATGACTGCTCAGGTTTGAGCTCACTGTATGGAGGAGATGGTAGATGTGTGGACGTTCGATAGAAGATAGGAAGATGGAAAGAAAAGAAGGGAAATAGGAGACAAAGATGAGATGGATGGTCAGTTTTTTAAGCACTTTCAATAGTTTACAGTAGCAGGTGTTACATAATACACAAAATATACATTTTCTTCTTTCCCACACAGATAGAGAGATCATACTGGTGTGGGATTATGTCATTTAATAAATATATAATAGCCCTGCTCTGAGACACACACTCACACTCGCAAACCTACCTCTCTGAGGACCGCAGAACAGGAACGCTCCCCAGACTTTCATCCCTCAGTGGATTAGATTCTCAAGTCTGCGGTGTTTAAATTTTAATCCTGACCCATTTGAATTTTTAAGTATGTGGGGTGGCAGACTTTCGTGTCAGCTCGCGAGAAGCCCAACTCCAGCCATTAGCTCCTCTCTGACTTCTTTCACCCTTTCCATTAGGACCAGAGAGAAACCAAAATAAGCCACACACACTCTCACACATACGTGCATAGGCTACAGAGATACAAACAGATTCAATAAAGCCTACTGGGAAAGATGATGATATTAACACTCTGTGGGCTTGATGCCTCCAGCCCTTCCTGGAGATAAACAAGACAGAAATCAAATCAATGTATCTGTAGGGCCAGCACAGTGCTTCAATTGTATCCATGTTTATTCTGAGGACAAAGGAAACATCAGGAAGTGTTCAATATGATGTGATCATTCTCTTAAACTCCATAAGCTGCAGATGGAGTGTAACAACAACAACAACAACAATAATAATAATGTTAAAGTAATTTAATTATTATTTTTGAACAGTTACTGCAGGTTAATAAAAATGTGTGGTAATCACTGGCTGTTTAAAATATCCCCTTGTGCGCTAAACAAAAATCATGCCACTCAACTAATGTTTTACCATAAGTGTGTCATTCACATCCCTGTCAGTGTATGCAATATGTGTATGACATTTATGTAGATTATCTATTATTTTTGTAATTAATGGTTGATCACATAACTGATCTCAATATGAGAAAAAAATTCATTTACTGCCAGTCTGGAATGATTGAGCAAAACATCACACCTTCCTGTTATCAAATTAGGCCACAGGCTGTTCAAAATACTAGAAAGACTCAACACAAAGTAATCACAGTCAATCACAAGACCTTCTCAACATCAACAGTTTTGCACTTCTACCATCACATTTGCTTTCTCACACAAGCAGGCAAGCAAGGCAAGCAATAGCAATAAAGAAAGTAACTAAAAAGTGTGCTTTTTTGAACTTCAGTCAGTACTGATAGCAATTATGAATATTAATAGATTTGAACATTTATGAAGTTCCAGGTTCCTTTTCAATATAATGTGTAATTTGGGTTTAAAACATAAGTACAGAAACATTAAAAATAGTTATTTTTTTAAATATTGCGCTCAGAGAATATCAGCTATGCTGTGAAGCACATATTTGGCAAACAAACTGAGGTGCTAAATGTTGGTCTGTTGTTAAAGGGGTCATATGAGGCGATTTAAATTTTTCCTTTCTCTTTGGAGTGTTACAAGCTCTTGGTGCATAAAGAAGATCTGTAAAGTTGCAAAGACTAAAGTCTCAAATCCAAAGAGATATTCTTTATAAAAGTTAAGAGTCAACCACGCCTACCTAAAATGGCTCGTTCTAACACGCCCCCACATATCTACATCACTATGTGGAAATATTAGCATAATGCCGCCCAAATGTGCACGCAAAGAAAGAAGGCGTGGTTTCAGGAACAGCAGTAGTGTTGATGCAGCCATGTCAGGGAGACGCTGTGTTTCAGTGCGAAAGCAAAAGCACTTTATTTGGCCTTCCGGAAGTAGATGGAATTAGGAATCACTGGTTAAGATTCATTAACAACAGAACAGCACAACCCAGATGTTCGAATTTGTGCAACGCATTTTATGGACGACAGTTTTTTGAACCTAGAAGAGTACAAGGCTGGCTGTGCACAAAGGCTATTTCTAAAAAAAAAAGAAAAAAAAAAGGGTAAATTCCGACTTTGCTATGACAATCTGGCGCTTCTGAATCAGCGACTGTAAGTATGTTTTGTTATTAGTTTAAGTATTTGCTATTGACTGTTCAAATGCGTAGTTTTGCGCAGCGCAGAGTAACGCGTCGTGTGTGTGTGTGTGTGTGTGAGGGGAACAGGGTCACATCACAGGAGAGTGAACTGCCTGTCAGAAATCATAGCACGTCAGCTGTCTTAACCGCGGCTTGTGTACTGCATCATCACTGTGTCTGTCATTTGACAAAATAATAATCTTTAAAATAGCATCATATGACCCCTTTAATCTGTGAAGGTGGAATACAGAAATACACTGTTGTTAAAATACCTCAATGCTCCTGTGACTTTTTAGAAATATGCTGTGAGAAACCTGTTTGTGTAACAGACTCCATTAATTATTATCAGTTCACAAACCTCAGAATTAATTAAGCAAAGGAATACAGAAATTAAGTAGTGCTGTCAGTCAAGTAGTCATTAAAATGCACATTCAAAGACGCATTTAGAAAATTACACAACTGTTAAAAAGTTTGGGGTCAGTAAGATTATACAAGTTAATATTTTCAGCAAGGTTGCTCAATATTGGTCCAAACTGAAAGAATATTTAAAACATTTGTAATGTTACAACAGATTTATATTTCAAATAAATGATGTTATTTTGAACAGTTCATCAAAGAATGCAGTTTTTCACAAGAATATTAAGCAGTTTTCAACACTGAAAATAAACAAATATTTCTTGAGCATCAAATCAGCATATTAGAATGATTTCTGAAGGACACTGAAGACTGGAGTAATGATGCTGACATTTCATCCATCACAGGAATAAATGACATTTTAAAACATATTAAAATACAAAACAGTTATTTTAAATTGTAAAAATATTTCACAATATTACTGTTTTTAATGTATTTTTGATCAAATAAATGCAGCCTTGGTAAGCGACATCTTACAAAAACATTAAAAAGGTTTATCAACCCCACCAACTTTTGAATGGTAATGTGCATTTACTACAGACTTAAATCTAACCCTAAAATTATGTTTGTAGAAGTGAATATATAATTAATTTTGTGTCTTATACCTTTTTTTAAGAACAAGTCCATCCCCCTCACTGCTGGGGTTGGCAGTGAGGTCTCTAAAGACCACATGGTTGCATCTCCAGGACTACAGCAGCATGGCAACCTCCAGGCATCCAGATGGAGTATGCTAACATGTCTGCTGTGCCCTCTCCCTCGAAATGTGTGACATTATGAGCTGAATGCAACTGAGATTGCATTTGGGAGATCAGTTCACTCCAGTTAGAGTGAATTCAGCATAAGTGTGTGGCTTATGTAAGTTGTCATGTCCTTCTACTGTCCTTCCCTCTAGCCCTTGCATCCTTGTCCTGTCTAAGAAAAACAAAAAACAAAACACATGGCTTTATGCTGAAGGTCGCAGCAGACCAACATACAACTCTATTGTATAATCACAACAACTTATGCTTTTTCTGCCCTTCTTTAGCCTCACAACAACAACATTCACACGTTCACCATTCTTCTTCTCTCCTTTCTCTTGTCATGCTTCCCACTGGGAACAATCCAATTCTGTGCCACAGATTTCTATAACTGCAGCCCACATTTTGTGTTCGACATTAGGCACTTTCTCACACTCCCATTTTCAGTTCTACACTGACAAAATACTACTCTTAAACTGCACTGCATGTTTGTCTTTTTGCATGTTTGTACTTTATAGTTAGACAAAGTGAAAAAATGCCAATGGAACAAAATACACTATGATATTCAAAGTACATTCGGTAGCACTTTAGTATAGGGACCAATTATCACTATTTACTAGTTGCTTATTAGCATGCCTATTATTAACATGTTGGCTTTTTATAATCCTACCCAATACCTAAACTTAACAACTACCTTACTATTAATAATTAATAAATTAGTAGTTTATTGAGGCAAAAGTCAGTTAATGGTTTGTTAATAGCAAACATTGAGCCTTAAAATAAAGTATGACCATACATTCTCTGAATACAAGTCTTAAAAGTGTCAATTGTTGATAACCATACAGTTGATGGTAGCCATTGACTTCCATAGTATTTTTTTTTCCATACTACGAAAGTCAATGGCAGTACAGTCAACTGTTTGGTTAACAGCTTCTTTTGGTTAACAACTCAAAAGAAGAAAGAAACCCGTACAGGTTTGGAACAACATGAGGTTGAGTAAAAAATGACAGAATTTTCATTTCTGGGTGAATTATCCCTTTAATCTTTGGGTGAACTCTCCCTAAAAAAAAAACCTACAGTGTCGCCCACTAATATTGGCACCCTTGGTAAATATGAGCAAAGGTGGCTGTGAAAATAAATCTGCATTGTTTATCCTTTTGATCTTTCATTCAAAAAATTTACAAAATTCTAACCTTTCATTGAAGTAAAACAATGGAAAGTGGGGGAAACTCACATTATGAAATAAATGTTTTTCTCTAGTTCACATTAGCCACAGTTATTGGCACCCAATTATTGCAACGACCTTTTCCCAAGACAACAGCTTTCTCCTATAATGCCTGATGAGTTTGGAGAACACCTGATAAGAGATCAGAGACCATTCCTTCATCCAGAATCTCTCCAGATCCTTCAGAATACCAGCTTCATGTTGGTGCTTCTTTTCAGTTCACCCAACTCATTTTCTATAGGGTTCAGGTCAGGGAACTGAGACAACCATGGCAAAAGCTTCATTTTGTGCACAGTGACACATTTTTGTGTCGATTTTGATGTTTGTTTTGCATCACTGTCTTGATGGAAGATCCAAACATGGTCCATTATAAGATTTGTACCAGAGGCAGTCAGGTTTAGATTTTTTATCTGTTGTTATTTGTATCTGAACAAGACGTCCAGGACCTCCGGCAGAAAAACATGCCCACAGCATTAAAGATCCAGCAGTATATTTAACTGTAGGCATGGGGTACTTTTTATCCCAGTTTGTACTAAACCCATCTGGTGGGTTTGCTGCCAAAAAGCTCTTTTTATGTTTCATCTGACCATAGAAGCCAGTCCCATTTGAAGTTCCAGTCATGTCTGACAACTGAATATGCTAGAGTTTGTTTTTGGGTGAGCCAGGGTTTTTTTCTTGAAACCCATTTGAACAACATGTGGTGATATAGGGGCTGTTTGATATATTTTTTTAGGCTTTCTGACCCCAATATTCAGCTACTCTCTGCAATTCTCCAGCTGTGATCCTTGGAGAGTCTTTAGCCACTCAAACTCTCCTCCTCAGCGTGCATTAGGAC